TGTCTGCTTCACCTCTGTTCAACAATCTCTGCTCTTTAAAAACAGGTATGTGTGCACTATTAATTGACTATCAGAAAACATCACTATTCAATTACTTTACACTGGAATGTTTATTTATGAGTCTAACATAATTTACGCAGATTTTTTTAATCCATCAAGCATTAGGCATTGTCACTTTTACACAGGAAAGAGGCTTTTTTATTGTATGTTTCCAGCCCTCTTTCCATTTTTGCGTGGGATATTAACAGATTTTGTTTTAAACCAATTTTTAGGTCATGCATTACATGCATTATTATCTTATTTGAAACTTTGATGTTGATTTGAAACATCTAATCATGCTTTACTCAGGAACAGCGTTGTGTGGCTCCTAGCTGAAGGAATCTCTTCTCACTGAAATGAAGAGCCCAGCGTTCATTCTCCTGATCATCTGGAGATGCGCTGTGTGTCGAGCCCAGTGGAGACCCAGCAAACCATCACAGCGAGACACAACAGCACAGGTATTCAGATCACAGAAATATTGCAATTCAGTAATTTTCTCTGTGTTGAAAGGATTAGGGCTGCATGGTGTCTGTATGAACTGACATGCTGTTGTTTTCAACCAGAGTTCTTGTGAAGGACGGCCGCTGGATCTGGTGTTTGTGATCGACAGCTCTCGCGTCCGGCCTGAAGACTATGAGAAGGTGAAGTCCATCATCAAGGACCTGCTGCTGTTCTTGAACGTGGCTCACAATCAGACGCGCGTGGGACTGGTGCAGTTTGGCAGCGTGGTGCAGAATGACTTCTTGAACAGCTACTTTGAGAAGCAGCTGATGTTGCACAAACTCGAAGCTGTGTGCAGGTCAGTCTGTTCCCTTCACTCACTTTGCACTGTAAAGAGATATAATACAGATGAAATATATTTCCACCTGCCCGTGGGGGGGGGGCTCAGGCTCATACACCATTATCTGCCTGCCATTGTGTTAATCCTGCACTTGCGGCCCCCGCTCTGCACATTTTGCATGTCTCCCTTATTTAACACACTGATTCAGATCATCAGCTCATTAGGAGAGAGCTCACTGAACTGAACTGATAAGGGAGACATACAAAAGGTCCCCAGGACCAGGATGAAGAACCACTGGTGTAGTAATCCTGAAGACCTGGATTGTCTAGTTCAGATGTGTTTTAATCTGGGTTGGAGCTAAACTCTGCAGGAACAGCATTAGACACTCCTGGTTTAGATGTTTAGGAAACTCGTACTGTTGACGGATGTTGAATGCTCAGCATCTCTGCTCTGATCTCCTCAGGATCTGATCCGTGTGCATCAGGAACCAACGAGTGTGTAAACACAGACCACTCGTTCATGTGCCGCTGCAGGAAAGGTTTCACACTCGCTCCAGATGGTAAAGCATGTGGTAAGTGTTGGTTCTCTGCACTGCCGTGTTCTGAGTGTCTGGAAGCGGTGCATTCGTGACCAGAGCTCTTCAGCTCTCGGAATACACGACGGACACCTGATGAGCACATGTGCTTTTAGTTTACAGCATTATTTTGTCACTCAAAAAGAACTCATTAAAGTTCCTTGAACGCAGTCACAGTCTGAGCAGCTCATTGAACTGATTCACACTGATATAACTCATTATCCTCGTTACAAATTATAAAGTGATTTGAATCAAGTTTTCAGTGAAAATTATTTTCTGATGAATATAATTTGATATAGTTTGGCCACATTACTAAAAAGGGCTCCCATTGTTTTTACTTGCTTTACTTTTCTCTCTGTAAGACTATGTAAGTTTAATACATTTAAAATAATTGTTGTTGCAGGTCTGGACTGTAAACGTGGATCTGTGAATCTCATGTTCGTCATTAGTGGCTCCAGATATTTGGGCATTACTGGGTTTGATCTGCTGAAGTGGTTTGTGAGCAGAACGGTGAGCGCTCTGCCAGCCGGATCTCGGGTCGGGCTGCTCCAGTACTCCTCTAAAGTCCGCAGCGAGTTCACTTTGGGCCAGTACAGCAGCGCTAGCGAGCTCCAGCGGGCCGTCGCAGCCGTCCGCTATATGGGCCGTGGCTCCGTGATCAGCGCCGCCCTGCAATACCTGATCCAGAACAGATTCAGGAACAGCAGCCGAACAGCTCAGAGGATCACCGTAGTGTTTACAGATGGACACTTGCAAGACAACGATAGAGAAATCGATATACCAGTGTGCAAATATTTTTAACACACTGTGAATAGATACTGCACTGCAGAAGTAATAGTCTGTGTCTCAGATCAGCTGTCAGTGTCACAGTGCACATGTGGGAAGATGATGCTCTTCACCAACATGAGCACTGAAGCTCTGTTGAGGGTTTCACAGCAGTATATCCTCCAGCTTTACTCTTACACCAGTCCCTAATGCACTGCACACTGGTTTATCTGCTCTTCTGACACATCCAGGTCAGTTCATGGAGCTCTGCTGATGTTCAGAAGGAGATGTTCAAACTGTGCAGCGCTGTGCTGAAATGAGTCAATGCACTAAACATACACAACAGTAGATATGGGGTTTGGGTTTTTTGTGTACTTTGTGGCCATCTGGTGGTCAGAAGGTTCAATAGTAGTAAGCTATAGCGCTTACAAAACTGCAGTGTCACGAGACGCTGGTTTACATCTGGTTCTGCAACTGATTCTACATGAACGTCTGATTTATTCTATTCTAAAGAAATAATCAGTTCAACATTGATAACGTTATTTCATAGGCAAGGTTCCTTGTGGGTTTCATATATTAATTACCATATTGAAAAACACCGTGAGTAGTTACAGTAAGGAATAAGCTAAGGTTGGATACTGAGGCAGTTGCATGGTTCTCTGGCAAACAATAGATCCCATGATTTTGGCCAAAACAAATCAAGCTGCAATACAGTGCTTCAGTGTGAAATGTGTTTATTTGACACAAGCTTCAATGTCAAACATATCACTAGTGCTGCTACTGCTCTGTGTACCCATAAATACACATGAACTAGACGAAATGACTAGCAACATGGGCACTATCTTCTCTAATACATTAGAAGCTGTTGCCCTTAAATTGATTTTTCCGTACATTTCTGCCATATGTACATTAACTGACAGTCACCACTGATAAGCTACCACTAAATATTGTAGAAACTTAATTTGCTGTAAAGTTGCTTTGCAATGATTTGTATCGTGAAAAGCGCTGTACAAATAAACTTGAATTGAATTGAATTGAAGTAGTGACTGCTGAGCATGTGTAACCTAAAACACCTCAATGTTTCTACATCATTTCTCACCATCATCACACAGAAACTACATTTCCTAACAACAGAACAACACTAGCTCCTGATGAAGAGGACTGAACTGTTGGAGAATCAGCTTGAGCTGCTGTAAGATCAGTGCTGGAGCAATACATCAAGATCTGTGTCACATACAACTGACTCGTCTTAATGACATTTATCCCAAAATATTGTACTGCATAATTACCATTTTCTGTATGATTTTGCATGTTTAAAGTAAAAAAGACAGCTGTAGAAGTGTAATTCAGTAGTGCATTAAAGCATCACCACTTGTTTTCAGCCGAGGAGAAGCATTAAGAAGAAAGCATTAAGGAGAAGCTGCTGTGCTCTCAAACGGAGAACCAATCTAAAATAATCTGGGACCGCGGGGCCAAACCGAAGGGTGTCTGGAGAAGACATTTAAATATTTGAAGTATGTTATCAAAACATGAACAACTTGAAAATATGCTTACGGACTCAGATCTAGATGTCTGGTGTTTATCTGAGACGTGGTTAACTAAAACCTCTCCTAGTGCTGGGTATAAATATTTCAGAGATGATAGGACAAATGGTAGAGGAGGACTTCTTAATGTTAAAGATCATTTTAGTAAACAAGTTCATCTTGAATGTTCAAATGATTTTGAATGTATTGCGGTTTTAATTACTCCACAAGTGTCTTTCACTGTTGTTGCAGTTTAAAGACCCCCTTCATCTGATATTTCATTTTATGATCACTTTAAAAAACTTTTTAAAGAAGTTGAGAAGTAAAGACTTGTCTAATCTCAACTGGTCTGATAAAAGGCAGGCTAAGGCACAATGTTTTATTAATATTTTAAATGAGGCTAAAGGTGATAGTTAAACGGTTTGGCAAACTATTAATCAGTCGACACAGACTCTAAATCATGTCATGTTTAGAAATAGGTTTTAAAGGAAGAATAATTGATAAACCTGACGAAACTGCAGCTATATTTAATGATTAGTTTGACTCAGATTTGATTGCACATGATGTTTGGTAATGTAATCTGTTTTGGTAGCTACTCTCTTGCTCTGGGACAGCAGATGAAATTAAGCTCTGAAGCTAATTCTGTGGCAGTCTTTGACTGTCAATTGTTCCTGTTAAATAAAGAATTAAATAAAATGTACTGAAGTACTAATGAGGACCTCGCTGGGGTGTTCAGGACTGGACATTAATTATCATCAACCTGGGGAAAGAAAATGATGTTATTCCTGCTTTATTATAGTAAATCCCGTAAACCTACTGCTTTTTGTTCAACGGCGTCTCCCCACAGACACTTGACTGGGTTCAGTCATCAGCTTAATCAGAGGCTCCGTGATCTGGATTAATTGTGATGACCTGTGATACCAGCCCCATTAACAGAATAATGTCCTCATGAATGTAAACTTAGACTTAGAGTGCATTTAGGGGTTATATTTGATCAGTTTGTAGGTTCCCTAAAGATTTATGTTGAACTACGCTAAACTTGAGGCTTTATATCAGACTCATAAATAACTAAGAGTTAGTTAGTAACATGTTCTTCAGACTAAGCTGCTGTATCTGATGCGCGTGCTCAGACTGACACACGGGTGGCGCTTCAGATCTGGGCACGAGCAGCGCGTGCGCGTCTGTTTGACGTGAACGCGCGGAATATTCAGCTCATAACTGAAGAGAGTTATTAACACACAGCTTCAGAAGAGAGTTATTAACACAGCTTCAGAAGAGAGTTATTAACACAGCTTCAGAAGAGAGTTATTGTTGTTGTGTGGTCAGCATGGGCTGCTCATCGTCCAGCACGCAGACGCTCGCGCAGGAGGACCGACCGCGCGGCAAAGAAACTCTGCGTAAGTCATTTCAGAAACATATCAAACTAAAGCCGTTTTTGTAAAAGCTTGGCATGATCATATCATCAAACCTGTGCATGAATTACTGACGGTGCCAAACGCACAAAAAATATGTAATAATCCTAACCCATTTAGTCAGAGATCTTTTCATAGTAATATTTACAGGCGATGTTTGATTACAGCAGCTGAAATCCTGTATGTGGAGCATCATGTTTGTGTCTGTCCGGCTGTTGTGAGTGAGTTTGTGCTGTGCGGTCCCTGAACAGATGATGGATATGAGGACATACCGCTCAAACCCGGGTTAGGACACATGCAGCCCCAGGCCTAACCAGTTTCCAGATCACTCTCACACCAGTGCTTCCATTCAGCTCAGAGACTCCGTGAGAGAGTCATTGCTGGTTTCTCTCGTGATCTGTCTTTTTCCTCTCATAGATTTTGTGTCTTATGTAAAATTAACACAAAATGTAAAAACGGACACAAAGTCTCACACAGAGAGAAATATTGTCTATTAATTTGAGAAAACAGTTACAGGTGTGTGCTGAGAGTAAACCTTTACACCAGATCCAGCTGCAGCACAACTCAGAAAACTCCAGCGTGATGCAAACACACACCTCAGGCTCTGACACTGAAGATGGACTGTGTGTGTGTGTGAGATAGAGA